TTTTTTTTCTTTTTCTGCTTCTTTTGGTTTCTTGCTTGCCTCTTGCTGCCTCCTCCTCCTTTTGCTCGAGTACCTGGCTCCGAGCGCCATGTTTGCTCTTTCCTGCGGGGCTGCAGGGCTCCGTTTGGGTGTACGGCTGCTTCCTGGTCTGGGCTGCCGCGCTGGTGGGATCCCGGGGCTTCTGTTCATTTGTTCCTCTGCTTCCCACGGCCCCGGTGTCTTGACCGGGGAGCGCCGGCTGCTTGGATTCCGCGCGCCTGGGTGGGCGGCTCTCTGGGTACCGTTTGTTGGCTGCTGGTGTTGCTTTTTTATTTTTTCCTGCTTCTTTTGATTTCTTGCTTGCCTCTCACCACCTCCCCCTCCTTTTGCTCGGGTGCCTGGCTCCAAGCGCCATCTTTGCTTCTTCCTGCGGGGCTGGGGGGCTCCACTCAGGTGTGCGACTGCTACCCGGTCTGGGCTGCCGCGCTGGTGGGATCCCAGGGCTTTTGTTGGTTTGTACCTCTGCTTCCTGTGGCCACTGTCTCTTGGCCGGGGGGAGCCGGCTGCTTGGATTCCACGCGCCCGGGTGGGCGGCTCTCTGGGTGCCATTTGTTGGCTGCTGCTGTTGCTTTTTTTTTTTTTTTCCTGCTTCTTTTGGTTTCTCACTTGCCTCTCACCACCTCCCCCTCCTTTCACTCGGGTACCTGGCTCCATGCGCCATCTTTGTTCCTTTCTGAGGGGCTCCAGAGTGCCGGCAATTTGTGATATACGCTTTCCCACTCTCCACCCTTCTTCACTCACACTCGGCCTCCTCTGTTTCCCATGGACACAGTCTCCTGTCCAGAAACACCAGCCCGCACTGGCTGGCTCTCTGAGTGCCATTTGTTGGCTGCTGGTGTTGCTTTTTTTTTTTTTTTTCCTGCTTCTTTGGATATCTTGCTTGCCTCTTGCCGCCTCCCCCTCCTTTCACTCGAGTGCCTGGACCTGTGCACCATCTTTGCTTTTTCCTGAGGGGCTGCAGAGCTCCATTCGAGTGTGGAGCTGCTTCCTGGTCTGGGCTACCGCGCTGGTGGTATCCCGGGGCTTTTGTTCGTTTGTTCATTTTGAATTGTTTGTCTGTTTTCTTTTCCTTTTCTTGAGTTGGGAGCCCTTTCTGGCCAGGCGGAGCTGCGTGCCAGGGAGACTCCCCTTCGGCTTCCACAGACGTGCAGAGGGATCCCTGAAAGCATTTCTTTTTTCATTGGTTTTTTTTTTTTCTTTCTGTTTTTCTGGGGGAACTTTCTTGTTCCTTTTTTTTTTTTTGATTTGTTTTGTTTTCTTTTGACTCTTTTTCCCCTTTGTCTTTCTTCATTGCTCAATTTCTTGTCTCTCTATCTCTTCCTTCTCTTTCTTATCCCTGAATACCAGGCGTCATATGCCTCTGCGCCTTCTGGCCAGGCTGTGCTGTGAAACCTGAGAGCGACTTCTCCAGACCTCATAGCTGCATCGGTGGGATCCCTGGGAACTTTGCAGTTCTTTAAC